TCATTAGACTCGCGACTATGTTTTTTTTTTCAAATTACATGAAATTATTGTTGAAAAATGTTAAGAAAAAATACGAAATATCTAAGATATTACACATATTGCCTGAAAATCCCGAGGCAAAACCTCCTTTTCCAATACTTTGAATTTAAATTAATCAACAAATTACAACAATAGAAAAAAAAAATATAAGTAAAATATAAAAAAAAATGTTATAAAAAAATTCATGAAAATTTAAATTTATTTTATATTTAAACTATAAAACTTTTCTACTTCCAATTAATAGTGGATAAATACCATTTCATTACGCAATTGGTAATGTAAAAGTCGTTGAAAAATATTACCAATTTCTTCGTTTATTTTTATTTACAATGGAACTTGTGAACTAAACGTCAGATTGCCATGAAATTTTGAAGGTTGGTACTTCCTACATTCCATACATTTTTTGTTGGTATAGGCGTCATCTATATGTCATCCTACAACTTGTTGAGTGAGATGTTATTATAAGTTTATAAATTTTCACGATTTTCATGACGATCATAAAGTTTTTTTTATAATTTATATAATTATATGACATATGATAAACCAAACAGAAATTTTCTTAAATTATGAAGATATTATCAAGTTTTTATTAAACTTTAATTGTCTTAAGTTTTAATTATTTTTATAAAAGGACATGGATTATAATTACAAAAGATCAATGATAGGTTTGGGTTTTGGAACCAATTATATGTTAATCCATGCACTAGTACTGCAAACAATTAGTTTAAATATTATATTACAGTGTGCAGCAAATAACTACTACATTTCAAAGGAGGATTTGAATAAAAAATGGTACGAGGTATCTCCAAAAACATTTTATTTCCCAAAAAAAAATTTTTTTTACTTTAAGTTAAAATTTTAAAATCTTATAGCTTGTCTTTATTTCTGCCGTACCATAATTCACGATTTGATCACATTTGTTCAAACTATGAGAGTTATTACTGAAAAATTACTGTTTTCGAAGACCATAAAAAAAGCTATTATCATTTATTATACTCATAATACTGGAAACTCGTAATAAAGGAATTGCGTGTCCAATCGATAAGCAATACAGTTGATCTATGTATTAAAGAAGAGGCGAAGCGAAAAATCATCGTCGCTCCTTGATAAATCACCACATAATGTTACAAACGAAATCAATTTAGTATGAAATTACTTAATTTATTATCAGCAGTTACATCCCAATAAATGTTCAATTGAATAAAAAAGAAAGTGAACTTTACTATTTTTAGTACTATAGAATAAAAAACCCAATTACCAAGAGTATTTCACCAGTTCCTCATGACAGCTGTCATTATAAATTTAACGCAATCCAATTTTGAGTTGTTATGACATAAAGTGACAGATGTCATTTCGCAACCCAATTTTTAGTTGCTTTGACACACACCAGGTGACTGCTGTTATTTCGCAACCCACAGGTTGAGAAACGCTACTATAGGAATAAAAAATATAATAATATGATATGAATAATATAACAAAATTGAAAAGAACATCACATCACATCAAGGTGAATTTTGTCCTCTGCGTAACAGACAGAAGCAAAATTTTAATCATCATTACGGACACACACACACACGTTGTGATTTCATAATATATAAATCGTGGAATTAAGCCCTCCAGTGGCAATCGATAACCGCCGACTGAGTATTCTAATTATTATCCGACTCGCCGAGTGCGGAGCAGCCCTCACTTCATTCAGGGCTTGTCTCATCCCCCCTGGGACTCTTCGCGCATATAAACAGACGTACTGATTAAACGAAGTCGCAAATCCCCGAGTCAAACGCCTTTATCGAAAGTGCGTGAGTATTTATTCAAATGTCCCGCCGTTCGATTCAATCGCTGCTTTTCTAAACGGAGGGATAACGATGATTCGATTTATTTGAACAGGTTTCAGGATACAATCGCCCATAAAATCAGACGTCCGTAAATATATGTGCGCGTATAAAGACAGGATACAACAAACAAAACAAAAGAAGGAGACAAGAGAAAATAAGGGTTCGTAGGGGATGGGAAAGGTTTGAAATTCGTCCATTTATTTCATAGCTTCGAGCGCGCCCCGAGATTGAATGACCGGATTTACTTAAACCGAAATGAAATTCTTCCTACTCCTGTACCTCCACCATTCCCACCACACCGATCGGCTTCCAATCCGCATTACCTGCTTGTAATTTATTTGCAATACAAAGAAACGTGCATCGTGCCCGGAATACGCGTTTGTCCAATGATTATCTAACAAATATACGCATCTATTCCTATCGCTGACAAAATCGATTCGTTTCATTCTTTTTAAAGTTTCTTCAGTTTCACTTTCGTTGTCTCTTCTCCTAAGTAACGTGGAATAATTCATTGGAGGCCCGAAAAGTGTTCGGTGCTCTCCGCTCAATAAAATAATAAAGAATCCAAAACAAACCCAACCTAAATTGATTTCGATGTCCTCCCAAAATAATTCCAATCAAAAAAATGAAATAAAAAGACGTGGACCAAGGGAAAACCTCTTTGTTCTTTTAACGAGAAAGCATTTAAAAAAATAAATACGCGCGACTTTGTCGTCGTTATTTCATTAACTCTTCTGAAGCGAAGAAATGCTTTTGAGTTTTTCGCTTTTATTTTTATTTTTTTTGTGTAAACGTAATTATTTTCGTCCCGAAAAGAGAAACGTGGACGAAACGATGTAAAGAGATATCGATAATTGAAAAAAAGTTGTCGGAAACAATGAGATTACAAAAAGTCATTTAATTCCTCGTATAGTTCGTTTTTATTTACAAAATATGAATTCCTTGCAGATTTAAATTCCATGCTTAAATAAATATAATTACTTTTAAAAAAATGATTAAAAGTTGTCCGAAACAATTAGATTTTTGTATATGATTAAAACTCCGAATTGATTTTTTTAATGTCTACATAAACAGAAATAAGATATGAAAAATATATTTCTAAGCTTCAGAAAAAGGAAACATTTTATTGTTATCATATTCAAATAATATATTTTCTATACATGGATTATTACAATAATTGGTGATTATTAAATATATAAATATTACATAAAAATAACGACTCAATATATTCATTAGTATCTACAGGAATACCTTGGATAGTCCGATTAATAGGTTCCTCAAATATCCCGGACTAATCGAGGAACTAATACATAAAACGCACAAAATGAGATTTAACTGTATAAATTATTGAAATTCTCAAACCGGACTATAGTGAATCCAGACTAATAGAACCCGGACTATGCGATGTATAAGTTTATACATTTTGCTGATAGATCATTGTGTCGATTATATGTAAATGTCAGAATTGATTGAAAAATATAATTAGTATTTTAATAGTAATTTAATTAGTTCGCCTCAACCTAATTATTTTTGTTCAGAAAAGAAAAACGACATAGTTGAAAAACAAGTCCCTAGAACTAATTAGATTGTCTCTTATACTTAATTCCTCGAACAGTACGCTTTTTTTTATAATAGGCGATTTGAGTTGAATTAACCGAACTATGCGAGTTATTTATAATAACTAATTAAAAATGCCTTTGTCAATGAAAAACTTGATCAAAACTCAATATTTTTTATTACAGTATTTATAGTATTGCAAACTTTTGATGAAGAACTTGCGTGTAGTCCACAAATCGATAAACAATACATTTACTCTATGTATTAAAGAAGAAGCAATCCGACGTTTTACGTGTGATAAGTGGGAAAGTTTGCGATGGAAAGAATGATATCTGGGAGCTTCGTGAAAGCTTTCCCCAACTAATCCCCAGCCGTCGGCAACCAGGGTATTGTATTTCCCCGCAGCCGATTCAACTTTAACGAAACTCTTCCCGATTTAACGACGTCGCGTGCCCTCCATTATCCATCAATAATGTCCATCTTCGAGCGCAATTTTCGCTCCGTCGAGGAATTAATTTAAATCGAGCCGCCGCTCTTGAAGTGATCGGAAACGGAAGTACGCGACATCAAAAAGCTTCCTGGTTAAATCGTATTCATTTGCATACCTTCGATGACGATATTTCGTTCTTTGCAATCATGCTGCAATCAGTGAAAAGTACCGTCTCTTTCTTTTTTACGACGAAAGAGAAATTAAGTGTACAGGCAATTTGAAGTAATAGAAATTGCCGCTAATTACACGACGATTACTCGCTGTTGTTAATTAAGCAAACCACATGAATTACAGCTATTATCAACATGGTCCTTGCATAAGACTTAATTTAATTAAAAGTAAAAAAATAAAAGTGCAAATTGCGAATTGCGCTGGTAATCTCTTTCTCTACATACTAATTAGGGGATTTTTAATTACGCTTTTCATACATAGACATAATAGAACATACTATTCTTTATTGCTATTACTTCCTTTCGCGCTAATTAATACGAACAAAGTTTTTATGGCTTAAAGAAATTTTTTAAAATTTAAAATTTCTTGTGACAAACTTAAATAGAAGTTAAAATCATCAATACTTCGCATAGTCCAGGTGATTAGTTCCGTCAAAACTTACTAACAGAAAAATAAACGATCAATTTTCTGTACTGTTTTTTTTTTATAATTTTACACAATTAAAATTTAGTTTAATTGCATAAAGTTTCAAATCTCATTATTATGAATAGAGTATTCATTTCATTTAGTGAGATAATTAAGGTTCGTTCGTACGGACATTTTTATGTTAGTTAGGTGTATTTTAAAAGGGAGGTACGTTATAATAATGGAAAGGAAAAGAACCTTCGGATCGTGTTTTTTGTTTAAAGTGAAAACTAAATATTCGATACAAATCGGAAGTTATATTAAATGTAATATTTACATTAACGTTTTTAGAAGTGCTCTAAACTGAGCTGAAACTAGAACTTCGTGCATTTGAAACTAGTTGATAATGCGTGGAGCGAGTGGACGAGTTTCGTGTAGACGACGACTACTTTAAATATCAATGATGAAAGTAGCGAGTTCTTGACTTTGGCAAATCGAGTTCATGTCGCGAACCCCACCTGCATGGATGCAAGTTGGTATAAATAGGGCCGAAATGCAGCTGTAACTGCATACAGACGACGACATCATCATCATCATCGTACGAACACCGAAAACATGGCTTTCAAAGTAAGTTTAAAACAATTGCTGTAATTATTATAATTGTATTTGTATCTGTATTTTTTGTTCTTTAAGCTCATTGTTTTGTGCGCTGCCCTGGCTGTGGCTAATGCTGGAAACCTGGGCCTGGGTTACGGAGCCGCCCCCCTGGCGTACTCTGCCCCAGCTGTGTCCTACTCGAGCATCTCCGCTCCATACTCTGCCGCTTACTCCGCCCCTATCGTCGCGAAGACAATTGCTTCACCCATCGCCTACTCGCAACCGATAATCTCCAAAACAATTGCATCCCCGTTGGCATACTCCGCTGCCCCAGTCGCCACATCTTACTCGAGTATCACCAAGACCGTCGCCCCGGTGGCCACCTACGCCGCAGCCGCTCCAATTGCCTACTCCGCGCCGGTAGCAACCTACGCCAAGACCATCGCCGCCCCAGTCGCATACTCTTCGCCTATTGTTGCTAAAACGTACGCCGCCCCCGCAGTCGCCCACGTCTCCTATTCATCCCCAAGCATTGGCTACGGATGGTAAATCAACCCTCCATTAACATCTACACCCTAACAACGTTTATGCCAACGAGGATTAATGTATATAGATGAATAAGAAAACATTCAATAATTTTCTGTAACTTTAATAATTTATTACTGAATAAAAATAATTAATTTCTATTTTAATCACATTCAAATTAATTGCAAGAACTCTACGATCACAGATTATATACTTTCCAAGTAATTTGTGATATTTACAAAATCTGCAAATTCCCCATAAATAATTCCATAATTATAAGCAAATTTAATTATTTTTATTTTTTCATATCTTGTAATATATATTTACAATTTACTCGATTTGAAAATTTAGTAAATTATGCTTTCCAAGTAAATTGTCAAGTATAACATACATTGAAATGCTCTTCTCTTAATTATTTTACAAGTTACTTAACTAAATATTACTTAGTTTTCATTATTAGTATCTTCTATTATTTGTTAAAAATATAATCAATTTGTGCATTGAGTAAATCTAATCGAAACGTAATTCTATTAATTCGTTCACTTTAGATTTAATAATTTAATAGAAAGTATTTGAGCGGTTGGGTGTTTCAAATAAGCATAATTAAGTTGCTGCCTCGTACTTCTTTATTACTGTAATAATCGTATAATGGATTGCTCCCGTTTAATCTATTGATTTTCTCGTAAGATAGACATTAATAACGTTCTGATGCTATAATTTTGATGAGGGTTGCTAGTCAAATTGGTCTAGATTATTAATAAGTAATAGCATTATTTTGATTGTACCCTAGGGTTTACAAGAACGTTAAGCAGCGATAAACGTCTATGATAACTTAATCGATATTAGATAATTAACTAAAACGATTTCGTTACTGCTGAATCATCGGGCTTCTGTAGGTGTATAGTTGTTATGAAATAATGGAGATTGAGATTGGAATTGCTTAATCACGGTGATAGGTGTTTAGATTGTTTAGATTGCATTTGGTAAATTGTATCAATATTAATACACAAAAAGATTTCGTTTTTCATATAGTTTATTTCGTTTAAATTAATTCATTTTTGGTATCAAATTACCATCCGTAGTTGGTGGCGTAGTTGATGGCTGGAGCGGTATAGGCGACTGGGGCGGCTACGGTCTTAGCGACAATTGGGGTGGAGTAGGCTACTGGGGCAGCAGCGTAGGTGGCTACTGGAGCTACGGACTTGGTGACGGTGGAGTGAGAGTAAGAGGTGGCAACTGGGGCGGAGATGGTCTTAGCTACGACTGGGGCAGTGTATGCGTGAGCTACTGGGGCGGAGTAGGCGATTGGAGCAGCAGAGTAAGCTACTGGGGCAGCGATAGTCTTGGCGTAGGTGGCAACTGGAGCAGCAGCGTAGGTGGCTACTGGGGCGGCGGCGTAGGTAGCAACTGGGGCGGCAGCGTAAGTGGCTACTGGAGCAGCAGCGTAGGTGGCTACTGGAGCTACGGACTTGGTGACGGTGGAGTGAGAGTAAGAGGTGGCAACTGGGGCAGAGATGGTTTTAGCTACGACTGGAGCGGTGTAAGCGTGAGCTACTGGGGCAGAGTAGGCGACTGGAGCAGCAGAGTAAGCTACTGGGGCAGCGATGGTCTTGGCGTATGTGGCAACTGGGGCAGCAGCATAGGCGGCGACTGGGGCAGCAGCGTAGGTGGCTACTGGAGCAACAGATTTGGTGACAGTAGAGTGAGAGTAAGAGGTGGCTACTGGAGCGGCGATGGTCTTGGCGTAGGTTGCTACTGGAGCAGCAGAGTAAGACAAAGCTGGGGCGGCGGAGTAGGCCAAAGGAGCGGCTTGGTGAGCGTATCCAGCGGAATAGGCTACTGGGGCGACTTGGTGAGCGTATCCAGCGGAATAGGCGACTGGAGCAGCTACTCCATGGCTGTATCCAGCAGAGTAGGCTAATGGGGCGGCTCCGTAAGTGTATCCCAAGTTACCAGCGCTGGCTACGGCCAAAGCGGCGCACAAAACTACGAGCTAATTTCAAAAAGGATCGATTAAAATCAAAATAATCCAACAAATTAATTATCCTATTTACCTTGAATGCCATTTTAATTAAAGTGATGGTTTTCTGTTGCTATTCGAAGTGAATATGCTAAAAAATTTCTTCGAACTCACTTTATATACCGGACCAGATCCCCGCCCAGAAGCATAAATTCGTTTATATTTCTTTCTACGCTCGCTTTTTTTTGTTTTTGTTTCAAAGCCAAAACTTTCATTCAAATTCGAGATACGTAGTTATTACCATAATCAGAATGGCCTAGTGCAATCCTTTATGTAACAGTCTTTTTTGTTGTATTGTCATGAATTCAATGCACACTTTTCTTTCAGACAAGACGCCAGACGTTGATTTGACGAATATATTTTTTATTCATATACAAAACTGAATAATTAACAGAATGGCACTATTAAGATGAATAAATTAGATTAGACGCTTATTAATCGTAACTGAAATGGGACGACATAAAAACGAACGGTTACATAACGCTGTTAGAATTTCAAGTAAATGAATGATTAATGTGTTTTCGTATCGCTATTATTTCTGCTTTTTTGATTTATTGTTATATGAAATGGTTTATATTAAATTTATGGATTCGGCGTGGAGATAGCACTCATTTGCGGAAAATAAAAAAATAGTAAGTTTAAAATATCAATGAAAGTGAGTGTCGTTCTTGACTTTGAATTTCGATTTTAGGAAACCCCACCAATTCGCGCTTGGTATAAATGGTCGGCCCAGTGTCGAACTTGAGCATATTCAACTCGAATAGCAAAACATTCACTTACATTTATTACAATGGCATTCAAGGTAAATTATATAAATTTGTTTATATAATTCAATTTTTATAATTTTCTTTTTCTTTTCAATTTAGCTCGTAGTTTTGTGCGCCGCTTTGGCCGTAGCCAGCGCTGGTAACTTGGGATACTCCTATGGAGCCGCCCCATTG